ACCCACCTGCGAGTCCGTCTTCAGCTCTCAGCGTAGACGGCAGTAATTAGATTATAGTACGAAGCATGGCAGGTAGAAAAACGAGGCGAGAAGTGTCATTTTTCAACAAAAAATAGGATTATGAGGTTTGGAATTTTGGTTATGGGATGTCAGACCAGTATCAGAACCCGGTGGAATTCGTATTCCTGAATTAATGTTTCGTGATTCATGTAAATTCCATTCTTCTAACATGATCGTAACATTATTGTCAGAATAATATGCCAAGCTGGTACCTGACATAATTTGTGATTGCCTCAGGAAAACCTTGGCGTTTTGGGTAATTTTCAGCTAGAAAATACTTGGTGTTCGTGTAACAGACGTGGTGGACTGGTATTGAGTCGGTTTAGGATTACATCTTGGCTACAACATGTTTGGATTGTATCCTGTGATGTAAGTAAGCTATTTCTAGATATTATCATCTTACGTCAGGTAGTAGATATGTGTAGATATATAAGCTGAGAGAAAGAGGAAGGAAGACAGACAGACAGACAATTACATCTTTTTATTTCACTTCAATGAAAAGCTCCTGTGCGAGCTATTCTTCCAGATACCTCTAGTCTCAATCATTACAGCTTCCGAACCAGCTCAAAAGGTTCGACATGGGAGTTAGTGAGAGCATTTATTTTCTTTCTTATAACTAGCTACTGGTTGTGTAGTGGGTCACGCGGTGAGACTGAGTCGGGCATGTGGGAAGCATGATCTCGGCCGTGTACACCGGTCCTTGACTTCTAAGAGATACAGAGCATAGCTCAGGACCTAAAAATTAAAAAAAAAGAGAAATTCGAAAATTTGTAAATTCCCTTTTTCAACCCCTCTCGAACTCGTCAGACCTATCTCTGAATTGTAATCGAGCTTGAGGAATTTTTACCATGCCTCCTATTCGTGAAAAGTGCCCCAACGTCACGTCGGACAACACGAGAGTCCGCCCGAGGGCTCTCAAAAATTACCTGCCTCGCCAAGCCTCCGAAATGCGCGGAGATGGGTCAGGCCGTTTCAAAAGGGAAGGAAATAGCCCTCCCCGCCGTCACTGAGCCCGATACCAACATGATCGGGTCAACTGAAGTTGTTAAGGAAATATATCAAACAGCCTCATTCCCCCACGGGATTGGGGAGTCATCTAAACCTACTCCAACCGCGTCAAAACCGTCGGAGAACGCTGCACCTGACCCAAGTAAGAAGTGGAAGGTTAGATGTTTGGGAGACTAATGACCTCCAACCCTAGTCAAGAAGCTCCAGGCAAGGAATTAGAACTCATGCAAGTTGAGCGTAGACTCCTTTGAACAGCTAGCCTCATAATCTCCTAGCAGGGAGGCCAGACAGCAAGCGTATAGACTTTACCAATGGTTAGGAGATATAATAAGACCTTCCCTCTAGAATCAGTTTGTCTCTCTCGTACGTAAAAACTAGACAGTATTTGGACTTCATACCCCTGCTTCATCGTGTTGTCGTAGCCCTTCACACTGCCCGCCCGAGCTTCGACCCATTGTCGAGGCTGAACAACGACGCGCCGCCGAGACAGCGGCAAATCTGGCACTCTGTTCCGCCACCGTATCTGGCGTCGAAGCTACCTTTCACCCTTTGACCAACGGGTCAAATAGATAATCGGTAGATTCGATGAGAGTCTACCTACGCGCCGCCATTGTGCAATACGTGGCCTCGAGCCTGGCCTCCACGCCACCCGTCTTCCCTCCGCCTAGCGAAAGCTATCCCATGGGCTCCTGACGCCAGGAGCCAAACAATACTCGCCGTCCCAGTGCTGCATATAAAAAGCACCTAGGCCACGGTGGCCGGAAGCTGACTGCGACAAACAGCAGTCCCTACTGTAAAGACTGTGCCGCAATTTGCGGTAAAAGCCTAACATAAAGAAGCTTCCAAGGCGAGAGTCGACAAGCGACTATTCTTTCGCCTTGAAAAGAATCACCCGTGGCGGAAACTCGCCACACATATCGTGAGAAGTAGTGTGGAGAGTACGTTCCACTACTTTCCCGGTAATATAACCTCGTTTCATCGAGTGGAGACCGGCTTTGCTATGTTGGGAAAGAACAAAAAATACGGCAGGAAATGCTAGATGGCTTTTCGAAGCTGGCGAGTGTTAACGCCAAACTCGAAGCATCACCGGATCTCGTCGTCTTATAGATATCGAACGTACCTATAAGTATGCATACAGAGCGCGGATCAAGGTCGCCGTTACGACCCGCGTGACACTAATCCAGGTCCGACCTCATTGGACGTGTTAGCCTGGAGCACCCAATAGAAATTGGCATGCTCTCTTTCAACGGGTTTCCGCCCCTCGTGCGGGCTTCCGCCTCGTCGACCAATTGAACAGTGCAAATGCTGTATGGGCTTCCACGCCACTCGTGGTTGTTCCCGCGCTCCAGCCTGCTGGAACTGTGGATCTAACATGCACTCTGAAATAGAGTGCAAAGCTCTCACGAAGTGTCGTAACTGTGGAGGACCTCACAAATCGGATTCCTGAGACTGCCAAACTAGTCCCAGAAAATCCGGACCGGTGACCAAAGAGCAGCTCGCGTGGATCCGTCAGATCGAGCAAGGGAGGTTCGCGAAGGTGGCACAAGGTAGGGCTGCAGCAAAAAAGGCCGAAAAGACTATTATCGCCGCGGCGAAGGATGCCTTGATGGCCGAGGGATCAGGCATCGGGGTGCTAGGATCTGAAGAAGAAGCTTAAGGATTCAGCGACCTCGAAGATGTCCCTTCTGGGACGTTTACTAACCAATAGCAGGATAACGGCTGGATCAAAAGTGCCTGCTAACCCATCTTTTGCTCTCAGCGGAGAATGGGTAAATTTGTCATTTGGAATATGTGAGGAGCGCATTGCTCGGGTCCAGCATGGACGAATCTTCTCTCTTTCGGAGTTGTTTTTATCTTCGTGGGTTTTCGTTTCTGTTTAATCAGCTGCATATTCGGCAGCGATTGACGAGGTTGGAGCGAGTTAGGCTGTGGGAAAAAGAACAGGGAAACCTGCTGGTTCCACCAATCTTGCATCTATAGTGGACATAGAGCTTTAGCTTAGGACCAATTGATTTAATAAAAAATACTCCGTTAATTATGCTGAGGCTGGGAAATAGGCCACACAGTAGCGAAGGAATACCTGTCTGGAATCTAAATCAGTGGTGACTACAGAGGGCATATTTAATGTAACGGATTTCCAGTAGTTGGTCTTTATATAAAATAATAATTCTTTGTGGTATTGTTTACGTGCGGTCTCCGTAGTTCTACTCACCCTTAACATAACCTTGTCCTTATTTCTTAGTAGTTAGCAGGAAGAGCCGCGAGCCATTTTCAAGAGTGACATAATAATATGACGATAGATCCATTCAATTTATAGAGTGTAATCTATTGAGTGGTGGATACCGTTGCTACTGCTCAAGGTACTAGCGACGTTTCACTATTCGTAAGCCCTAGCAGTCTTTCTTTCGATAAACTAGAGAGATTAAGATAATCCTCCTAATCTACATTAGTCTCCCCTATCTATCTGATAAGACTATCTGAGAGAGATGTTATTGGATCATGGAGTCCTAGGATCCTGATAATATAACCTCAGTGTGCCGCCGCATAGTCTACTCTTCAGGTTCAACCTTTATCTACCCTGGCTCTTCAAGCCAACCGCTCTTTAAGACTATCAGCTATTATTAAGTATAGCTATGGCTTGCTCTAACGATTCATCGCATTCTTTTGCTTGTGTCTTCATCAGAGAACCAAACCTCGCCACAAATGTCCTCTTCCTCAATTATTCTTCGCTAATACCTACTATGCCAAAACTCTTCGGTTCTACCTGGATCTTACCAAGGAAGACGTGTGATGGTTCTGTCAAACGAAGCGAAGGTAGATTTGACTGGGCGTACATGTGTCGGAGGGTAGGGAATAAATTTTTGTTCAAAAAAAAGCTGCTGGTAGATAGTAAGTTAAGATTGTGTATCATGGCACATATTCGTAGTTACCTCTATACCTAATTCAATTCTCAATTTTAAGCTGAAGTAAAACCCATATCAGTTAGTTTTAGCCCAGGATGTACTGCTTTATGACAAATACTAGTATCATGCTAGATATGAGGCCGTGAAAGATGAGCTAGTGCACAGCGAGTCTGCTTTGAGATCCTAAAGATCAAAATATATTGCTACAATACGAGCTTTTTTGGCGGTGAGCTACTAGTAGATTTACTTTTACGAAAACTAGGTAATATTAGGTGAGTCTTGTAAGAGTAGCTCCCCTACTATCTTATAATATAACATTCTATGTCCAGTGAAGCCTAAGGCTGTATTAGGATATATATTACCTCACTTTCGTAGATCGGTTGTTGTGTTGCGTGAAATAGCAGAAATTTCAGTCTTAACAAGAGCTCGAGCTGCCCTCGGCTTTACATGTGTATAGAAATATATCTTTTGCACGATCGAACATATTCTTTCAGTCGCCTAAGGCTTAATTGCTTGAAACTTTTCGACAACGATTTAATAAGAAAAGCTACCCAAGCAACCTTGAAGTGGCCGATTATATTGGGATAAACTGAGATAGTCTCACAAGCTAAAGCTTAGCTGAAGCTGCAAATATTATTTGGCCAGTTGAGAAATATCAATTTTATCCAAAAAAGTAAAGCTCCACTCCTAAATTAGCTCGTCCTGGTGCACTTGATAAGCTTGACTTAAGATAACAAGTCATGTCTAGTGGCCACAAGATATGTGGAGTTTCAAAAGTTGTAATCTCCAATTCAGCGCACGTGTGTCTGATGGTCGTACACAATGTAAATGAGGAATAAATTTACCGAATTTGAGTTGTTGGAAAATACCATCAAATGAAACTTCTGCATCTGATTAAAGTCATATTTATCGGGAAAATAATATGGTGAATCTTTAGCGTCGAAATTCGGCATAAAAAAGCCCAAATTTAGAATAAGTGCCGAACTTGTAAACTTGTGAGAGAGATTATTTACCGGGTGTTTTGCCATATTAGTTAGCGCCACTGCTCCTGATTCGTTTGCGACTTCGAGGTGCCAGAATCAATGATTCGCCCAGGCCTTGAATTGTCTCTCTTTTCTCCAATTTCCTTATTTTATTCACGTCAATAATATCGCCCCTCATGCGTGCCATAACAAGCTCTCGAGCCATAACACTATCTGGATCTTCGTAACCCAACTGCGTACTCGGGGGTTGACTCTGTTCAGGACCACTTGCCCAAGTCGGATCGACCTTCATTAAAAATCCCATTCTGTCGGTACCGGACTGATTCATTGGAATGGTAGGCCACTCGACTGGATTACCATGAGTAACCGTACTGTCTACTGATGTGGCGCGAGAAGTATTTGAATTATTAGATGTCACTCTGCCGAGGATCCGAGGACGTTTACGAGAGTCAGCTGATTCGAGAGACGGGTTTGTGGCCGTGTTTTTGGAAATAGCAAGAAGAGATGAGATTGCATTATTCATACCCTCAGTAGGATAGTTAAATATTCGTTCCAGGGGCGGAACTGTGTGTGATATATCTTTTGGAGCAGAGGTCGTTTCATTTTGTTCTATGACAGCTTCATCCTGACGAGAAGAGCAAACAAGCCTTTCTCTGGCTCTATCCGCATCTCTTTTGAGGGTTTCCTCAGATTTAGGTACACTTTTATGATTGCATATGGAATGTTCTGTAATTGGATTGAGCAGTGGTGGTGGGGATGGCAATTTAGAGGATATTGGGAGATCTATTTTAGGGTTTGAAACGGCGTTAACGGGTGATCTTGAAGGCGTGACGGTACGTTTGTGAATGGCATGATACTTTTTCTCTGCTTCAGGCTGGGGATTTTCCACGTGTCTTGGTAGGCAAGTATATACTGCAATAGGTAAGCTAGTCCCTGCTTTTATTGAGTCCCATAACCACTCTACTTTAACGACGGGAATATTCCACTTGAGCGCGTAGTTTAATTTGTCTTTACGCACATCATTGATAGTATTTGTTATTAGAAAAGACGCCTTAGGAGTCATATAGTCGCTGTACGTTGCACCTATCAGTTCGACCGCTCTTGTCAAGTGTAATAAGTCTATTCCACTAAAAGCAGATGAACAAATCGTTATTTCATTGGCCACGATAGTCGGTATGGGAAACAATGGAAATGGCCGCCCAATAACATGTTCTAATGGTTCCATAAACTTTTTGTGGTGAAGACAGCGCTCAACCCACCAAGATGTAACAATTTCAAAATTTGGCGCTGAATCAAGGCACTTTGGAATCTTTTCCTGTGGGAGATCATGAGGAACAATCAAGAAAGATCTCCAACAAGGTGGCTTATGAGCGGCATCTTTCGGTAATTGGTTTAATTCTGCGTCTGCGTGAAGGATTTTTGCATCGTTTGTTATCAAGTAGTTTTGTAAAATCTCCATCTTAGTAGGGGGAAAATTATGAAGCAAAAATTGACAGTTCGTAAAAATTCCCTTCTTAGCTGTTGGGTCCTCATGTTTTGTTTGTTTACTGTAGGGCGGAACTTGTAATTTACTTTGGGCGGCTGGAATACCTTTTGGATTGCTATCTTCAATCGGACCTCGGATTGTGAGATTAGGCGGACCCTTGAAGTTTGTGTTGCTACCAGAAATATCAGCCCACAACTTGTGCTGTTGGCTGCTCAATTTCGAACTCGCTGCTCTTCTCAATTTCCGTTTCCCACTTTCTGAGCTAATCACATTTTCAGCCCTTGGTTTTTTACTGGCTGAGCTCTCCTGATTGAGAGTTCTATTCCAGGCTCCCTTTCCTCGCTTCTCTACTGGCATGGTGGGGTCAAAATGTGACTCTTCGAGTATCATACCTCGCTCAAGACTTTGATATAGCCATTCAATCGAGACTATTTTCAATCCCCATGACTTGGCGGCCTTGTATTTCGCACCTTCCGTCCGGAGCGAGATCAAATGCGTGATAGATTTAGTCAAGTCTCCGTCATATGTGGCACCATTAGCTCTCACTAACTCAGCAATCTCGAGACGTTCAGCAGCTATTTTCTATTAGTTCCACGTATAGACTATAATATTGTGCTTCATACGTTCATCACATCCTGTCATACTAAACTTTAATGAGTAAAATGTCGGAAGTGTATATTGTCGTTGTATATCCATTAAGTCAAACTCCTTATCAGCGATCCACAACTCACGTAGGGCTTCAATCCACCTAGTATTCATTGGTATGATATCTGGCCGGTTTTTGGCGACAAATCTGTACTTTGGGGTCTCGTAATTGCCGACAATGAGATGAGTTACATCACGAGTCAAATCCAATTGATGAAATGCCCCCATTTCTTCGGCATATGAAGCTATAGCTGTCTGAAAAAATTATCAGTTCACTAAACTTAACCCTAATCTGCCTGGTGGGAATAAGATCGGATTTTAGTAGCATACACGTTTTTCTTCTGGTACAGAGGTGCAGCATATGACAACTTTTCTCAGCGGGGCTGAACTATCCACACGTGCTTCATTTGAGGTATCTAATCCGAGCATATTTATGCTATCATTGAGCGTTAATTTAAATTGTTATGTAGTGAATATTAAAACTTTTGTTGATGTCGGCATGCAACACGCGTAACATCGCCAATACTAGAAGCCCCTTCCAAAGTCTTGGCATATAAGGGGATGTCGTATGACGTCATAAACGAGTTTCAATATATATATAATTCAATTTACCTGTTTTGGCGCTTTGAGGCACAGGCAGTTTTTATCGGAAGATATGTACTCCAATTAAGATGACTCAATTTGACGTTTAGAACACTAGCACTCAGATTTCATTTGCAGATACCACTCGAGGTTAACACTTACGGCGTATAACCTCTTCCGTGCGTGTGTGTGTGTTTATTGTACTACTTCAGTCTATGACTATCTAGCACATTGGGCTCCTCTGTGGCCTAGGCCACACCTTGTACAGTGATCCTTGCCTCTCATGTTACTTAAAAGATCATTGATATTTTGCTCATGAGGAATAGCAATGTAGCTCAGTATTTACCCGTGGAAATCGGCAACCTTTTCCACAGAACCTTCTACCCAAAAAAAAATAATAAAAAAATAAAAAAGGTAGCAATGGAAACTGCGCGCGCGGGAAAAAGTCTCAAAAAACCTGCAGACCCAGCCAGGCGAGGTCTAGACACCGGGACCACATGATGTGCGCATATTCATCTGTATCTCCCTCCTTTGTAACAGTCGAGGCTGACTTGATCCAATCCACCATCTCCGTATCGGGTGCTTGGTACGCTCCGGAAACTCATCGGATGGCTTTTCCACCATGATCACGGGTTGGTGACGAGAAGGGCTCCGACCCTACCATCTGATCTTGGTTAGCTTCATGATGCTGGTGATAGGGGGTTGTGATGAGGGGCAAAGACGATACAGATCGCGAAAACGATTGGGAATCATTATCGAATTGAGGACTTTGTTACTCAATCTCGGCTCTGCAGACTCTATAGTGAGAGCTAGAGGTTCGTAGGGGGCACCACTGATAGGTGTTGAGAATAGTCCCCCTGACCGATGCTTTGTATACATATTGGATCACTCATTTGACGTGAGAGACACTCATATTCTGGATTTCATATGCAGAGCCACTATGTGGTATGTCATGATCACTCCCTCACGCAGTATAAAGAGTATGCCTGAAAGCCAGAGCATTATCCTCCGAAGCCTCAATAGTATCCCAGCTTATCGGAGCGACTTATCTGATTGAAGCTACTTTGAGTTGATGGTTCTCATATTGCGTTAATGTTCTCCTTCCGTTTGTGTTAACTGACAGACCCCTAGTATTCGACCCTTACAACACCAACACAGCTTGGACAATTCCGCTCACAGCGAAAGAAAGGCCCTCGTCTAGGGAAACTACGTACGTAATACGCGGTGCACTTTTTTATGCATCAGATTTTAATTGCGCATGCAGCTATCTAGCTATGACACGATATCAGTGAAGTGTAAAATAGATGACTTAATTTACAAGAAGAGCACTCATGCCTCGGATTTCATTTACAAATACCACTGCAAAGTTATGGCGGCTTTTTCTTCATCCCAAGTCAACCCTCATCCGTGAATACCCACCCAGGGGAACGTCTCAAAAACCCTGGGTTATCCAGACATGCCTCCGTCATCCATCAACTTTTCTCCGCGCGAAAAGTGGTCTGAGACGTCTCCTTCCCAAGTGGAGTAGTTACCCAGGCTACTCAAACTATACCAAAGAACACCACCAGAAGGCGGACCACGGCACCTTCCATCGTCGGCTTGTTATTTAAAGTGTCAGCTGCACTCTCGCAAGCGAAGCCTTGGTGCACACAAAGCTCAATTCGTAAAACTCTTGCCAAAATTCCAAAATTCATGCCCATCGAAGTTTTATCCTTTCTATGCATCATCTTATGAACTTTTCCTGATCTCTCTCACGCCCATCCCAAAAAGCAGTCTTCCAGATTTGTGTGCCACGCTTTGCTTCCTCTATCGGGTGTAAATATCGGCGTGGGCGTGTATCTGGCGACCAGCTGAGGTCAGAGAAGGTCGACGAGAGGTGTGGTCATTGGGATGAGGATATAATTAGTCGTAATTGTAGGCTTGATGAGGCTTAGGTAGGAGTCAAACTCGTTGGGAGTGAAAGATCGATATGGTAGAGTAATTTGAATCATTGTCTCGTAGGCTAACTATTTTGATATTGCGAAACTTGACTAAACTTGGCTCTGGGATAATATTTCACTCCTGGGTTCGTAGAGGACACCGCGTACAGGTGTTCAGTCTTGCCCTGTGTTAGAGGTTCTCGTTTCTGTGTGATCCGTTACAGAACAAGTTGCTGCCTTCCGGCAGTGCCCATTATGACATCTTCTCCAGACTATTATGCTGTCCTCAGGCGCGAAATTAGGAGGCTTAGAGATGAGCGAGCCGCATCTGGCTACAAGCTCAGCTAATGCGCCCTGTTGGACGTCCTTAGTTAACGCATCGGAAGAGTAGCTTTGTGATCAAATTTAGTCCCCATGTCAGAAATAGTAAGCCCCGCACTTAGTGGCTGTTGAGGTGTCCCCCATGATTTTACTCCCACAAATCGCCATTATATGGTCTATGGAAAGTGTATTTAAGGCCTTTCACAGTATATACTGGACCGACACTCCGCAAGGTCACTATCGTTATTTAGAGGCCATGAAAGGAGTATTGGAACGAAGAACATACCTGAAGTTTAAATACTCTTGGCTAGCTGGCAGATAGGAGTTGCATGTTCCAATTTAATCATAGGCTAAATGGCATAAGAAGTATCAGATCGTTCAGGCAAACATATGGTTTATGAGTGACTTAGGCATCTATGGAGAACACAGGCGTCCAGTAAGGTTTGAAGGTGTCATGGGTTATGTTAAGCGATATAACGGGGATAGACATCCCGGCACAAAATATTTGTGAATCAGGACAGTCATGTGAATATCCATCCTCTGACGAATGGGTACAGATAACAACAGGAACTGAGGCTTTCGTGATCAAGAAAAGTTATATCTCAACTCTAACTGGCAACAAAAGAAATAATTTAATGAAAGGTCAATAAGTGGGCACACTTCAATGACCCAGACTGATCTGGAGGGTTGATCAAGGTTTCTCCTTGCGCAGCTACACACTTTTATGCCTTATCTTAATGTAACAGCGTCACAGGTCTGACAACACCATAATCTGTCTACAGTGTAGTTTCCTCCCCTTAATATTACACCATTTCTTCCACAAACTTCCCAATTCCAAAAAAATAAACATGAAGTCAGAATACGGAAGTGCCAGCGAGAACTCCACCCTTCTTGGCGTGCAAAGAAAAAAAACAGGGTTGATAGGCAGATACGGATGGATGGAATTGAGCCTTTTCACTTGGGCTGTTGTCGCCACATTTACTGCTGGATTTTTGGCTTTCGTTTCCAAGCATCACGAATCCCTTCAAGGAAGTCAGGTGACAAAACTGGTATCAGGAAAGCGAAATTTAGTGTTCATGGTATCAGATGGAATGGGACCTGCTAGCTTGTCGATGGCTAGAAGTTTTCGTCAATATGAAGGTTGTTCAAAGTTATAATCACAGATTTCGAATACTGATACGTTTTATAGCCGGTTTACCTAACGAAGATATACTAAACCTCGACCGATACTTGATTGGATCCTCCAGGACGAAATCTAGCAGCAGTCTAGTCACCGACAGTGCTGCTGGTGCCACAGCCTTCTCATGTGGGAAAAAAAGCTACAATGGTGCCATCTCAATGCTACCAGACTTTGCTCCCTGCGGAACTGTCCTAGAAGCTGCGAAAAAAGCAGGATATATGACGGGCTTAGTTGTGACTACGGACATTACAGATGCTACGCCAGCTTGTTTCGCTTCGCATGTCAAGAATCGAAGGTATGGCGATGATATCGCACTTCAGGAAGTTGGAGAGAACCCACTCGGTCGCGTCGTTGATCTAATGTTTGGAGGAGGCCTCTGTCATTTTCTTCCCAATACAACGCATGGTAGTTGTCGACGGGACGATAGAAATGTTATTAAGATTGCAGAAAATGATTTTGGTTGGAATTATATAAGCAGCCGAAAGGAATTTGACGCACTAAGACCCGGAAAATCGATGAATTTGCCTTTACTCGGGCTTTTTGCAGAGTCAGATATACCCTACGAACTTGATCGACGCAATCTTAACGATGTTTATCCCTCACTTGATGAAATGACTCGAACGGCACTCAAAGCTCTCGAGATGGCCACTAAAAATAGCGATAAAGGTTTTTTCTTAATGATTGAAGGAAGTCGAATTGACCATGCCGGTCATGGGAATGACCCTTCCGCGCAAGTTAGGGAAGTATTGGCATATGATGAAGCATTCTCAAGTGTCGTAAGATTTATAGAGGAATCAGAAACTGAAGGTGTACTGGTCTCAACATCAGACCATGAGACTGGTGGCTTATCAGTTGCAAGGCGTAAGATTGACCCGTCAAGTTTTGTGAAAATATCTAACCGAACTAGAATCAACTTCTCAATATCCTGTCTACAAATGGTATCCAGAAGCGCTAGCAAATTCTTCAAGATCTGCAGAGTTTCTCGCGGCTGAGCTGAAGAGGTTTATGGCGACAGATCAAAATGGAAATTCTCTAGAGAATTTCATTAGCGAAGAGCTTGTGCAAAAGGGCTTGGGCATAGTTGATGCATCAAGAGCCGAAATACAAATGCTTATCGACGAGCCCTCTCTGAGCATTTACACCTTTGCAGACATGGTAAGCCGGAGGGCCCAGATTGGATGGTCTACTCATGGCCACTCTGCGGTGGATGTTAACGTCTACGGAACTATTGGCTCTGAATCTCTGCGGGGGAATCACGAGAATACAGAAGTAGGAGAATTTCTTCGAAAATACCTAGATGTTGATGTTGATGCTATCACTAAGGAGCTACGGGAGAACTTCAATGCTTCTAAACTCACAGAAACATTATCAATATCATTGTCAGAGAAAATAGTATAGACAATGTCAAATACATCTGGAAAAATTCTTTCACTTTGAAAATCTATTTGTGAGCCCGCTTAGGATTCGAATAGAGAACCATTGTTACAGTAAGATCTAACTGGTATGGGCGAAATTGAAGGGTCTTAGTTTTCTCGCTACGATTCTACGCTAAGGTATAATTTCAGGTGTGGATAACCTGATTCAAAGATGAAGAGAATATTTGGCTGCACCAGAATTTGATAGAAATAGCTCGATTATTCTTCAATTAAAATGGCCTTCTTCCTAAAAACTATATTTTGCATATTTATATACATGTACTTGATTCACATCTATGATGCAACAAGCTTTAATCACATGGTATGCAAACTTGAACCCGTGGTAAAAGAGTATATTATTCCAGTAAACTCTGGCTACGCATTGCTGATAAATAATCAGGAGATCTAGGCACATCACAACACCAACATGTAACAAGACTAAGGATTTTCATTCTCATGAAGGTAGGTGGAGAGAGAGGTGTGTTTATTGTACTACTTGAGTCACAGACTATCTAGCAGTTGGGGTTCCTCTCTAGCTCAGGCCATACCCTGTACACTGCTCTATCCTCTTATGTTACTCGAAAGATCTTTGACACATTGCCCGTGACAGACAATCGTTCAGCTCAGTATTAACCCGTGAAATTAAGCCATATTTTCCACGGAACCTTCTACCCGAAAAAATAAAAAGGTAACAATGGAGACTTTTTTTTATGCATCGGATTTAATTGCGTATGCAGCTATCTAGCTATGACACAATATCAAAGATAAGAACATAATAGATAACTCAATATAAAAGAAGTGTACTTATGCTAGCCATGGAAACTGTGGCCGGTAGAGACGAATTCTTCACCTTCCAGTGGTGCCGGTGTAATCGCTCAGATATGCTCTGCATATCTGGGATAGCCAAGAAGAATCGCATCCAAATCGAAGTCGAAAGCAAACACATGCATATCTCCATTTGACGACTTCTCAATCATGCAGCACTCACCATTATCTTCTGAGTTCTCAACCCCGATCTAACCACATATTATGTCGCCTCGTCGACCGACAAAGGCGTCACCCCAATTGCAAACAGGAGCTTGCCTCATCCATCGCCGGCCATCACTCACTACAAATTTACGACGCTATTCATACCTGCATGGAGGAAATCAAGTCAAAAAATACAAAGTTGGGGTCTTGGTTTATGGGGGACTGCTGCTCTAATGGGGTTGCACATCTTGAGGAATGACAGGCCGCTGAGAAGTGGATCGAGAGGGGAAACAAGACTCTGAAGACCATGCTGGGACTGACATTTTCGAGGAGTTTTCAACTTTGGATTTTTTGTGGGCGCCAAGACTGAGATTTCAGCTAATTAGCCAGGAGGGCTTCTTTTGTCGATGAGACTACGGCACTCCCCAGCGCCCTGGACGGCACAAAAGAAGTTGGGCTAAGCTACCATACAGCAATCACGCTCTGTCAAGATTTTTCTGACATTTCAGCACGACCTTCGGGGAGGAGCTGGAAGGAGGCTAGAAAGGCAGAGAGTAAATTTCCCCAGGTACCCGCAAGTCTGCAGCGCCCAACTAGCTAGCCTCTTCGAACGCTTCAGAAGGGGCAATAAGTCTTCGGATTTAGTCCTAATGTCGGTATTAGAAGAGCCCCGCACCCAGTGGTTTTTGCGATTTTTCCCGGCTGCCATACACCCGGAAATGGCCATCGTTTCGTTGGCTGGAGAGAGAAGATAATGTAGGGCAAAGGGCACCTCTAAGTGTATGATCGAATGAGGACTTGCGAGGGGCGGTGTTACAGGCTGTAGCCTTGTATGTGGATCCGGAACTATCCGGCTCCGTCTATGAACAAAAGCGCGCTAGTGTCACGGGAAAACGCGCTCGATTGGAACAAAACATCTTGCGCGCGCGTTGTAAATATTCTCCTCCTTAGATAAAATATAAATTCATTTTTGGACCCATAATTGTGAACAACAAATGTGAAGTCCCTTCACAGGCGGTACTGTTTGAGGGGAGCTGTATGGGAGGCATAGGAGGCATAAGAGGGGATATACTACTGGTATAGGTATCCTTGGCCAGTAGGCAGAGAGGACCTGCATGTCCTAGATTGTCATAGACTCAGACAGGACAAAAAAATGAAATAATAATAACCACACCGTACCAGGACCACATGAGGTGCGCATATTCATCTATATCTCCCCTCTTTGTAACAGTCGAGGCCGACTTGATCCAATTCACCATCTCCGTATCGGGTGCTGAGTACGCTCCGGAGACTTATCGGATGGCTTTTTTCTCCATGATCAAGGGTGGGTGGTGAGTAGGGCTCAGACCACGGAAGCTTGTCAGGCCACAAAAGTTTTTCGCCGTGCTCTTCCTTTGCATTGAGTCATCTTTTCTGCAATTTTCTTTGATAAAGTGTCATAGCTAGATAGCTGCATATGCAATTAAATCTGATGCAAAAACGTTTTCGCCGGCAAAGTCGAATTCTTCACCCTCCAGCGGTGCTGGTATAGTCGCTCAGTAAGCTCCGCATATTTTGGATAGCCAGGAATAATCACGTTTGAATCTAAGTCGAAAATTATTTCAAGATTACAAGCAATCTAGCGGTTCAAATACGTTGTGAGCACATGGGACTCAACTCGTATTGATATAGAAGAAAAGTACCCGGAGTCTATATTACAAGCTGTCCATGTAGCTACCAATCGCAGAACCCCAAGCATATGATTATTTCCTACCCTCGATGGTCAAATGGAAGAGGAGAGATCTGAAGACAAGCGAAAGATCGGTCCTACGAAGCTATGCTAAGCAATCCTGGAGATATCAAAAGGATTACACAGTGGATCCTAAATCATGGTTGGATAGAGCAATTCCAGATGTCAAAGGCGGTCGAAATGCTACTGAGGGAAAGGAACAGGTCATGCCTTTCATAAGGTCGATAAAGCTGATGTGATTGGGTTATATGGAGGGCACTATAGTGTAACTGCGCTTCCTAAAGGATACATTAGAAAAAACATAAAAATTAAACTGGAAGGTTTGGGGGGTTTTCACCAAAGGGTTTCCTCCCATGTAAATTAGAAAGTATATAGACACCCGCATGGGCCCATAGGGCGCCAAATCAGGATAATGAAATAAAATTCAAAATATCAAGTTTATCTAAAAACGATATCCTCTCATCAGTGTCGGACCTATCATTCTCACGCCAGTCCTCTACCTCAATTTTATCACAACAGCTCGCCTCAACTACCGACAAAGGCGTTACTCCAATTGCAGTCGGGAATTTGCCTAATCAGAAGCTGGCCATCTCCCACTTCAAATTTACGATGCTATGTATACCCGCTGTAATGGCTTGTGAGCCGATTGTTGTGTGGCACGTGATTGTATTCACGTGCTTCTATAATTCTACAGTAGTCTAGCTTTATTCCAGATCAGTTCAGCAGTAACTAGAATATTCTAGTGATTGGTAGCAAGGCTGGGAACCGCTATAAGTGGAATGTGCGAGAAGCAGCCATCAGCCAAGAACGAGTATCCTAGATAGCTTCCCAAATGTATAAATAGTCGAGGTAATGCCTCGGTAGTTAGCTACAGACAAAACTATAAACTACCCTCGTATATCTGATTGCTCCAGCATCGATACTCGAACCGTGACACCCGCGAGGAGTAAGTTAAGTATTAAACTACAAAGCTCAGGTCTTGGTCTACGGGGGACCGTTGCTTTAAAGGGGCTCCACTTCTTGAGTGAGGACAGGCAGCTGGGACGTAAGACGAGCGAATGAAGAGGTCACAAATGGGCAATCTGGAACTCACATTTTTCGAGAGCCCGACTTTAGGGTATTTATGGGTGCCGAGGCTTCGATTCAGATTGTGCTACCGAAACCTTTGCAACAGGAAATGATGGAAGGTGTTGCCGTCCGCCTCCTGGTCGTCATCCCCCCCAAATGAGAGTCGGGGTGGCTTGGTCACTTACCTCACTCGAGAGGGGGAGGACTGTGAGGCCATATCTCGCGCCACGGCTGTATTCAAAATGACAAAGGCATGTTAGGATAACCAATGTGCCGGGGAGTACATCTACATTAATATTATTCCCTGCCCAATACTAATCTTAGCGAATAGCACTCGCATTTGTGGGTCAAGTAATGGGTTGGTTACTGTTACGGCCTTGTATTCCTGACCCTTGGGGCCTCTAATACTATTGTTCCTTCCAAGTATTGTGTTATGATCCTACATACGCACGGACCAGTTGTAAATTATGTATATATGTATATCTCTAGATACCTCTTGTTATTTTCTTCCCTTAGTTTAGAATCTTATGAATTATATTCCAGATCTGAGTCCTTGCCTGATTCGACTTGTTCATCTACTAACCTGTGCTCCCTTCTGGTCGTCACAGTTACCACAAGGTTGAGTTCAGGGGTTTTCTCGTGGAACGTTAAGTTGTGTTAAATGTCAAGGTGTGTCTGGTTGGTATAAGAGCTAGCCGAGATAGTCAAGGTCAAACTTAGGAATCGCGTCAACAACGCTACTCATGCAGGTCAGTCGCGTGGAGAAAGTTTGTACTTAGTAGTTTTAGTCCATCTGACTCTTGTAAATACAATACTATCGCTTCTCATTCTATCTGACCTCCTTCCACTGTGCTAATTCCCTTGTCTTCTCTACAGTCATACAGCTATAGAAGGCTTCCCGATTTAATAAGTTGTCTTTTTTTTTGCATCAGATTTTAATTGCGTATGCAGCTATCTAGCTATGACACGATATCAGTGAAGTGTAAAATAGATGACTTAATTTACAAGAAGAGCACTCATGACTCAGATTTCACTTGCAAGTACCACTGCAAAGTTATGGCGGCTTTTTCTTCATCCCAAGTCAACCCTCATCCGTGAATACCCACCCAGGGGAACGTCTCAAAAACCCTGGGTTATCCAGACATGCCTCCATCATCTGTTCACATTTCTCCGCGCGAAATATGGTCTTTGGTGTCTCCTTCCCAAGTGGAGTAGGT